CCATTTCTTGATTGGATCATTTGTTCTTTGGGTGTTGAGTTTGATAAGTTCTTTACAGATTTTGGATACTAGTCCTTTATCTGATATCTGATTTGCAAATATCTTCTGCCATTCTGTCATTTGTCTTTTGGTTTTGTTGAGTGTTTCTTTTGCTGTGCAAAAGTTTTTATCTTGATGAAGTCCCAGTAGTTCATTTTTGCCCTTGCTTCCCTTGCCTTTGGCTATGTGTCTAGGAAGAAGTTGCTGCGGCTGAGATCAAAGAGGTTGCTGCCTATGTTCTCCTTTGGGATTTTGATGGACTCTGTCAGGCCTTTTCTGTCCCTCCTTGCCTCTCACCTGTGTTCAGTGTTCATGGAGCTTTGTTCCCCAGTAGGGGATAGTCTCAAAGTTTCCCTAACAGGAGCCTAAATAGAGAGTGGGCTACTTCTATCCCAAACAATAAAGTCAGTTTCATGAAAGAGATTTGGGCCAGCAGGCCTTTCTAGGACGGGGAAAGTCCCCATGAACCAATCAACTTACTCTCCATGGAGGTAGAGCTGGGACTGCAAGTCTTCATTACAGAGGAGAAACCGGTGAGCCTATGTGTCAGTCTCGGGAGCATCTGGGGCTCTGGGCCTTGACAGTCGCCCATGCCCTACAGTCATCCTCATGTGGCATTTGGCGCAAGTCGCCATCCCAGCTCAGAAGCCAATCTTGCCTCCTCAGTGTCCACAGGATTAAGACCACACTCCACGTCCCCGTGACCAGACTCTTTTGGAGATTGGTTCTGCTGCCCTTTGCAGCCTTGATTCCCACCAGCCCCTTTGTAGAACCCCTATTCCCACCAAGCAGGTGAGCTGCACCTACCACCCTCCACATATTTCTGTAGAGGCATCTGAGCCTCAGAGAGGAGAGTGCCTGCATGGGACCTCTGCTTCAGAAGAGACACCCAGAATCCAGCTGCTTCTCACCATCCTGACCATCACCAATCTGGCCTGAGCCACCATCATCTGTCGCATGGATTCCTGCCCTAGCCCCTCAAAAGTCTCCTCCTTCTTCCTTGGCCTTTGAAAACCATAAATCCATCCTGTTTCTTTTTCTTTTTTTTTTAATCTGTCACTCAAAACCTCACAATGGTTCCCCCCTTTCAGTCAGAGTAAAAGGCCAAGGCTGCACACCATCGGGCCCTACCAAGCTCTCTGGCTTCTCCTTCCTCCGCTTCTCTCCTCACCCAACTGGAGTCTTCTCCTCAAAACCTGTCAGACACACCCCACCTTAGGGTCTGTGCCCTGGCTGTGCCCTCTGCCTGGAGCATTCTCAGTTCAGACATCCGCATGGCTCACTTCCTCACCTCTTTCAAGCCTTTGCCCAAATGCCACCTTTTCTGTGTGGCATTCCCTTTTAAAATTGTAAAGCCTGCTCTCCCTGCCTAATTCCTCCTCGCCCCCACCAGCACTCCGGATCCTTCTTATGCTACTCAAGCGCTTTTTCTTTTTCTCATAGCACTTACTACCTTATAATACACTATAGAATTAGTTAATTAATTAATTTCTATCATCCGTCTTTGCTTAGCAGAATGTATACTTTGCAAAAGCATGAATTTTTAAAATGTGTTTTGCTCACTGATCTAACCCAGCTGCCTAGAACAGTCCGTGGCATATCCTATGCCTTAAGTAATTATATGTTGCCTCAGGAAACCCTCCCAGTCTTTCACAATTTCATCCACTTGACTCAGCACACACCTGGCTGGACTTAGATGCTGTCAGACTCACACATGCCCAGAGCACACAGACACATGCTTGGAGATGCCGCCTACTGATGTGGAAATATAATTGTAAGTTGATAGCTAGACAGTTTTCCCTTTGTACCTATATATGCACATGCAAAGGCCACATGTACACATGCAGGCATGGACTAATCACATTTTTTAAATTAAGGGTTTTTCCCCCTTATTTATTTGTCAGGGAAGGGGGGGAGGAGAAAGGGAGCACAAGCAGGGGGAGTGGCAGGGAGAGGGAGAGGGAGAAGTAGGCTCCCTGCCGAGGAAAGAACCCGATGTGGGACTTGATCCCAGGACCCCGGGATCATGACCCGAGCCAAAGGCAGACGCTTAACCGCCTGAGCCACCCAGACGTCCCTTAAATTAAGTTTTAATATTGACTTTGAGGCACCTTTGTTGGCCAAATTCTATTTTAAAAATATTTCAAACCTACAGAATAGTTGAAAGAATTGACCAGTAGACACCCACCACTTAGATTGTACAAATAATGTTTTGCTACATTTGATTTATTGTACATCTATCTATCCATATATTTCTCTGTCCCCCCATCAATACATCTTATATGCATGTCAGAGTAAATTGTAGCCATCAGCATCCTTTTCCCCTAAATACTTCAGCATTAAGGAGAATTTCATATTTGTTTGCTTTTTAGGTAAAATTGACATGTAGAGAAATGCGTACATCTTAAGTATACTCTTGCTGAGCTTTGACAAATGAGTTTTTGACCTGTGTAACTCAAAGCTCTGTCAGGATGGAGAACATCGTCGTCACCCCCCAAATTTCCATCATGCCCCTTCCTAGTCAATTCGTTAGCACGGGCAACCGCCACTCTGATTTTTTTCACAATAGATTATTTTTTTGCCTGTTCTGGAATTTCAAGTACACAGAATAATTTGATAGGTACTCACATTTATTTATTCATTCAACAACAAAAAATTATGCAGCACCTACCCTACGCTCGTAGACCTATATCTGATGTCTGTTCATGGGGAGAAATGAGTTCTCTGTGACTGACCAAATGACCAAAGGTATTTCTAGGCATGGCCTCTGGCCTCCTCTCTCCTCCCCTGCAATCGGATTGTCAATGGGAGAACCCCCACACAGCTGGGCCTCATACACAGAAATGCAGGCCACTCGGTGGTAGGGCGCTCTGGGCTCCTCGCTGCCCGCCTCTCTCCCCCGTCTACTCTGGCTCTGGAGATCCCTCATCAGCCCCAAGCCCCTCCCACTCACTTCCCACACCAGAGCTTCATCCACGTTTCTCTACACATGTGAGCCAGGGGGTGTCCCAATCTCGGCCCAGGCTGCACCTAAGTGGGTAAAAGTGCAGGTGAGAAGACAGCTGGAAGGAGCTGGGCAAGCAGAGGCCGCGTGTGTCCCTGCCATCAAGTGCAGGGGTGGGGGTGGAGGGTGGAGACTAACTGGGGGCTGGAGAAGAAAGCATGAAGAGAGGAAACCTCAAAGGCTCCTGCGCAACAGGGGCTGGGACCAAAGGAGCAGCACTTACCTGGAGACCCTGAGACCCTGAGCATGATGCTCTTGCCCTCCAAGAAGGACCTTAAGATTGCCCTGGAGGTTTTTGCTGTTTTCCAGTGGCCCTTGAGTATGTCTATTATCGGTGAGTCTTCAGCTTTCCGTAGGGTGACCACCTGCTATGGTATGCCCGGGACTGAGGGGTTTTAGGGTTGAGCAGGGTTTTGAATGCCAAGACCTGGGTTGTTCCAGGCAAATCCGGAGGACTGGTCACCTCAGCCTCTCACCTGACTTGCCTGGGAATGGTACTCGTGAATCTCTGAGTGCAGTACACGAGGGTATGTGTGTGCACACATGGGTGTGTGCCTATGCAGGGGTGCATCTGAGTGTGTGCAAGCAAGCCTTGATGCAAATGTGTATGGTGAGCCCTCCTGGGTCTACACTGGGGCATGCAGGGCATGTTTAAGGAAGATGGGGAGCAGTTCCATTGAGGCTACCCAAGGAAAAGGACTTAGCTACAGCCTCATGCACTTGAACAGGCCATCCATGGGGGAGAGTTGCCTGGTGGCAGCCGGAGGCTCTGAAAGCTCATTGCCCAGAGCAGTTCATCCATTTCCCCCCACTGTCTACACCACAAACACTTTGTGAAAGTTACATATCCACTGGACGCTGCGTTCTGGGTGCTGAAGCAAAGCAGCCCTGTGTGTGGGGGGGGCGTGGGGGGAGGCTGGAAAAAAATTCTCGTTTGTCAGGTGGTCTAGGTGAGGACAAGCTGGAGGCAAGGGTATGAACCAAAGGACCTTGTTAAGATATCTGGGAAGGGATATCTTAACTAGAGGGGAGGGGGGTGGGGGGATGGGTTAGCCCGGTGATGGGTATTAAGGAGGGCACGTATTGAATGGAGCACTGGGTGTTATACGCAAACAATGAATCATGGAACACTACATCAAAAACTAATGATGTAACGTATGGTGATTAACATAACATAATAAAATTTTAAAAATGCAAAAAAAAAGATATCTGGGAAGAAAGAATGCAGGTAGGTCTTGGGAGTCTGGAGCTTGCCAGTGAATAGGGAGACTGGGCTAGAAGACAGGGAATGGGAGGCTCAGAGACCTGCTTGGAATGGGCACCAGGACCCCTCTGTGCCGAAAAGAGCAGTGTTAACCTAGGAATGATTAGCAGTCAGAGCTGGAAGAGACCAGCAGAAAGGAATTCATATGTATTAGGTACTTTGTACCAGGTATTTTCACACCTATTATTTCCTTGTAGGCTCCTGCCAGCCTTATGAGGTAGAAGCTATCATTATGCATAATAATATATACTAATAGCTACACGCACATAATAAGCACGAACACTCATAACATTAGCTAACATTAATTGCACCCTTTTCTCGTGTCAGGCACTGTTCTGAGCCCCTTGTGTGGCTAATAACCTCCATTTGTACAGATGAGGGCGCTGAGGTGCATGAGGCGTTAAGTGGTCTGTCCAAGATCACACAGTTGAGGAGGCAGAGGAGCTGGCCTGGGAGTTGAACCCACAAGGACACGATTCCAGCCCATGAATCTTGCATCAGCTCATTCACTGCTGCTCCTCGAGGCTGGGTCTGGACACGTCCCTGGAGCACATGCTAAGCCAGAGGCATGCTCTAATTTGTAATTGCCTCATTTTAAATTTCTGTTAACTGCCCATTCTTGACCTTTGCCCATTTTTCTCCCAAATGAGTTGACTCTTGAAGGGCACATAGGAAGTAGGTGAGGAAGGAGGAGTGTTCAGGGCAGAGAGTGGTAACCCGTGACAAGGCTAGGATGAGGGAGAGCATAAAGCATTCAAGGAGCTGCCGGTGGCTAAGTGGGAATAGGGCAAGAGGCCCAGAACTGATGCTCAACATTCATCGAAAAAATGAATAAGAGACAGGAGAAAGAGAACGCTGGAGAAGCAGACAGGGAACAATTGTGCAGGGAACCGTCAACTAAGGACAAGAGTTTGGACTTTTTCCTGAGGGCCATGAGGAGCCGTGATAGGGTTTGGCACAGGGCGACAGCTTCAGGTTTGAGTTTTCAAGAGATCACTCTCGCTCTGTATAGCGCACCGGTTATAGGAAGAGGCCGTTGCAATCATCCGGGTGAGAGAAGTGATTTGGACCAGACCAGTAGTAACTGGGATGCAGACAAGAGGGGAGAAAAGGGGAGATTGGAAAAATTGGAATAGAATTAATACAGCTTGATGATCAGAAGACATGAGCGAGAGAAATGGAAGAGGCAAGACGGGGGGCTTAGGGCCTGATGTGAGCTGGCAGAGGAGGCTGAAGGAGGAGAGTGGCGGGAAGGAACAGGAGTACAGGGAGAAAACCGTCCCAGGGAGCCCTTCATTAGAGTCCGACTGTGGGGCGTACAGAGAGGTAGTGCGGAGCAGGCAGAAGGGCTCTAGGCCTGGGCCTCAGGAGATGGGGGTTCCAGTTCCCCCCTCCTCTTGCCAGCTCACGCGGGCCAGGTGGAGCAAATGGTGCCTTGGAGCCTTCCCAGCTCTTCACCCTGTGCATGGAATCCTATCTCTTTGGACCCTGAAGGCCTAGAGAGGAGACCCTCACACCAAGTCTGTGAGGAAGAGAAGGCAGACAGATATTGACAGTGTGAATCCCAGTTGGCAGATGAAGTTCAGCGACTTGTCTGAGCTCACACTCATGGGACATGGCGGATCCGGGCCTCATCTCACTGCCCGGGCACTCTGCCCGAGGCCACACTGCCCCGCAAGATGTCCCCAACACTGTCTGGGTTGAGCAAAGCCTCGGGGAAACAGGGAGGTCTCTTCTGGACTAGACCCATGCCTCTCTTTTTTTTCTCAAAAAAGTCCAATAGTCTTATAAGGAGCACATCAAAAGGCTAAAACGGCTGGCCTTAGATCTGTTCCCTAGAGGCAGCCTCTTTCAACTTTGTTAGCTCTTTCTTCTGGTATTCATCTCCAGGGGTCTACATTTTACTACTTAAAATTTCCTACAGATTACTATAGTATTTCTGATTGAACAACTTTAGACGTTGTCACTGACTTCCTGGTATGGAAGATGAGAATTTGGCTCTACGCACTGTTGCTGGATCTTTCCTCTTCCTCCATCCTCCCGAGATTGTGATAGCACAGGTTTTGGTTCAATGCCTATGACTAGGAATATCCCTAGCAGAGCCATTTGGTGTACTGAGAGCATGCTTCCTCGCTTGTTGCAACTTTCTATTTTCCCTGGAACTCATAGTCGCCTCGTTTTAAATTTCTTTTGTTATTTATTAGATATCTATTGACTACGAATTCATCTTCAAACTCTCCACAGACACAGTAACCTCTCCATATGTGTGAACACATCAGGAACCTATGGGGAGGCATGGGTACTGGAGCCCAGCATTCTCCTGTTACGCAACATGGTCTTCTTATGCATCTCTCTCACTTCCAGGTCCCTGAGGCATCATGGGTGCACAGTTTAAGAAGGTGCTCGCTCTCCTGGTTGTGCAAGTGTTGCGTCAGGACTTGCTTGACCCCGGGAGTGTTTTCTTAAATTTTGTGTCCTAGGCACCTGGCTTGCTTCACCCTAGCCCTGGCCCTGGTCACTTCCTTCCTTCGTTGGCTCTTTTTGCTCCTCCTGGATCCCATGCCTTCCTCTGTCTTGGTTGACTCCCTTATCTTGATGGAGCACATCCTCCAGTAGTTTCCTGAGAAAGAGACATGGGAGACAAACCATCTGAGACCGTATGTCTGAGATTGTCTTTATTCTCCTTTCGTGCTTGATTAATAATTTGGCTGCATACAGAGTATCTTAGGTGTCTGTGTCTAGTGTTAAGTGTCTGAGGCTAGAGTCTCTCTGGCTCCATTTTGCAGAGAGTAGTCCTCCCATCATCCGACTGTGTAAGGGAGGGAAGGAGACCTGGAGCTCTTCCTCTTTGGTAGACTTTCAGTCAAGCCCCGTGCCTCACACTGCTTTTGTGTCACACCTGCTGGCTCGAGATTCTGAGTCTTTCCCAGATTTTCCAGCACAAACAGGCTTTGCTCTTGTGGCCATTCTCCTGGCGGGTGACCAGATTTCAATTTTCTTTGTTTGAAGTCAGTTACTCCCTCCTTCATCTACTTTCCAGCATGCAGACATTTTGCTGGTGTCTCTCATCCACTGTTGTGGGTATCTCTCGAATTCCTTTTCTCATTGCAGAGCTGTATCTTTTAAAACACTCTTAGGGTCAATGTTTATAGCAGCAATGTCCACAATAGCCAAACTGTGGAAAGAGCCAAGATGTCCATCGACAGATGAATGGATAAAGAACAGGTGGTATATATATACAATGGAATATTATGCAGCCATCAAAAAGAATGAGATCTTGCCGTTTGCAACGATGTGGATGGAACTGGAGAGTGTTATGCTGAGCGAAATAAGTCAATCAGAGAAAGACATGTATCATATGACCTCACTGATATGAGGAATTCTTAATCTCAGGAAACAAACTGAGGGTTGCTGGAGTGGTGGGGGGTGGGAGGGATGGGGTGGCTGGGTGATAGACATTGGGGAGGGTATGTGCTATGGTGAGCGCTGTGAATTGTGCAAGACTGTTGAATCACAGATCTGTACCTCTGAAACAAATAATACAATATATGTTAAAAAAAAAAAGAAGAAGAAGATAGCAGGAGGGGAAGAATGAAGGGGGGGAAATTGGAGGGGGAGACGAACCATGAGAGACGATGGACTCTGAAAAACAAACTGAGGGTTGTAGAGGGGAGGGGGGTGGGAGGATGGGTTAGCATGGTGATGGGTATTAAAGAGGGCACGTTATGCATGGAGCACTGGGTGTTATACACAAACAATGAATCATGGAATGCTACATCAAAAACTAATGATGTAATGTATGGTGATTAACATAATAAAAAATTAAAAAAATAATAAGACACTCAGGGTAATTTTCATGAGGCCTTGGCAAGCAGTCAAGATAAAAAACAAAAAAACTGTGTCTAGTCTGCCATGCTCAATTAGAAGTGTGTCCTGTCTTTTCTAGCCTTTGCTTTTTTTATTGTGATTTTTAAAAAAATTTTATTATGTTACTATGTTAGTCACCATACAATACATCATTAGTTTTTGATGTGGTGATCCACGATCCATTGTTTTCGTATAACACCCAGTGCTCCATGCAGTGCGTGCCCTCCTTAATACCCATCACTGGGCTAACCAATCCCCCCACCCCCCTCCCCTCTAAAACCCTGTTTCTCAGAGTCCATAGTCTCTCATGGTTCATCTCTCCCTCCAGTTCCGCCGCCCTCATTTTTCCCTTCCTTCTCCTAGTGTCCTTCATGCTATTCCTTATGTTCCACAAATAAGTGAAACCATATGATAATTGACTTTCTCTGCTTGACTTATTTCACTTAGCATAATCTCCTCCAGTCCCATCCGTGTTGATGTAAAAGTTGGGTATTCATCCTTTCTGATGGCTGAGTAATATTCCATTGTATATATGGACCACATCTTCTTTATCCATTCATCTGTTGAAGGGCATCTTGGCTCTTTCCACAGTTTGGCTATTGGGGACATTGCTGCTATGAACATTGGGGTGCATATGGCCCTTCTTTTCACTACATCTGTGTCTTTGGGGTAAATACCCAGTAGTGCAATTGCTGGGTCATAGGGTAGCTCTATTTTTAAATTTTTGAGACACCCCCACACTGTTTTCCAGAGTGGCTGTACCAACTTGCATTCCCACCAACAGTGTAAGAGGGTTCCCCTTTCTCCACAACCTCTCCAACATTTGTTGTTTCTTTCCCTGTCCATTTTTGCCATTCTAACTGGTGTAAGGTGGTATCTCAATGTGGTTTTGATTTGGATTTCCCTGATGGCTAATGATGATGAACATTTTTTCATGTGTCTGTTAGCCATTTGTATGTCTTCTTCAGAGAAGTGTCTTTTCATCTCTTCTGCCCACTTTTTGACTTGATTATTTGTTTTTTGGGTGTTGAGTTTGAGAAGTTCTTTATAGATCTTGGATACCAGCCCTTTATCTGTAGTGTCATTTGCAAATATCTTCTCCCATTCTATGGGTTGCCTCTTTGTTTTGTTGACTGTTTCCTTTGCTGTGCCTAAGCTTTTTATCTTGATGAAGTCCCAAAAGTTCATTTTTGCTTTTGTTTCACTAGCTTTTGGAGATGTATCTTGAAAGAAGTTGCTGTGGGTCTAGGCTTTGCTTTTACCCACTTTCTCTCACGCGGTCTTATTCACAGCTGTTTTAAAAACGGAGTTCGGTCATAATTCTGAGTGGGTGTGGCTTCCGAGGACTTGTCTCCATGAAGTCTGTCCTAACTACTCTACCCTACAGCACTCCTATCTTACCGGAGCCTAACACAGCCCAGTACCTTATTGGGTCCTAGCTTGCATTGTCTTTTGTCTCTCAATTGCCAACTTGTGCGCTCCCAGCCTGGCTGAAGTTGGGTCTTCTCTTTCTCTGGTATTCCCTCCACTGATGCCTCACAGAGAAGATCTGGAGAGGAAAATGTGAGGCAGACGAAAACCGTTCCTGCCTCTGTCTTTCCTGGACTCCCAGCCTCCGATGGTTAGATCGGAGCGGTCCATCGGTGGCTCCCTGCCATGGAGCACAGCCCAGAGCAGGGCCAGAGCAGGTCCTGGGGAGCAGAGGGCTTACTGCATGGGGCACAGCTGCCTTCCAGATCCGAAACAGGGCCCCCAGGACAGAGAGGATATGGAGGACTGGGAACAGGTGCTAGGGTGATGAAGTGAGAGTGGTTCGGTGAGAGTGTGTGTAACCTTGGGGTGGAGAGCCCCCAGAGGGAGGGAAAGTATGGAGGACTGTTCACAATTCATTAACTCTGGGCTGGGCTCCCTCCAGTAATCACCGTAGTCTTTGTCAACCTCTACCTGGTGCTGTTCACGCCCTACTGGCCTGTCACTGTGCTCATCCTCACCTGGCTGGCTTTCGACTGGAAGACCCCCCAGCGAGGTAAGGGCCCCTCTGGGGCTGTGTTGCGACTGGCCACATGCTCTTTTCTCTCTTCTTCTGATAGTCCTGAGAGGTTCTGGCTAATTCCCAGGCAGCCCTTTAGCCTGTCCCTCCGTCCCTGGGTTAGAGAAGCTGGGGGAAGGGGTCTTTTCAAAGTGCTGCAAAGGCCCAGATCAGAACTGGAGTGGGTGAGGGGAAAAGCAGCTAGTAAAGCAGCAAGCTAGGCCTGTCCTAAATTGGCCCTGATGTGACATCGCTCATCCCGGTTGTCACTTACAAGGCCAGGCAACAGCAGGGGGTGAGGGGCCACCCTGTGGCTGGCCAAAAGGGGCTCTGAAGAAGATGGTGGGGGTGGGCAAAACGTGGCTGCCTTGGCTCTGTTTTCAGGTGGCCGCCGGATAGCCTGTGTGAGGAGATGGTGCATATGGAAACACTACTGTGATTACTTTCCTCTCAAGGTGAGTAGGCCCAGGTCCCCCTACTTGGGTCCTGGGCCCAGCCCCAACTCTGGTGCCAGCAGTTGGGCCAGGGTGGAGGTTGGGGGCATCATTCCCATCGAGACCCATGTGAATGATGCTCCATGTTGCTGTGTGGTACCCAACTGCCTCACAGGACATACCAGCCCTTCCCTTTCCGGTCTCTCGCCGGAAGAGGAGTACTCCTCCTTGCCTGTACCCCTCCTGACTCCACTCTCCTCCACAGCTTTTGAAGACTCATGATATCTCCCCCAATCACAACTACATCCTCGTGTGCCACCCTCATGGGCTTTTTTCCCACTCATTCTTTGGCCACTTTGCCACAGACTCCTCAGGCTTCTGCAAGATCTTTCCCGGTATCACTCCTTATGTTCTCACACTGGGAGTCTTATTCTGGGTGCCGCTTCTCAGAGATTATATCATGTCTTCAGGTGAGTTGGCCCCTAAGACATAAAGCCAAAGGAAACATGGCTCCCCGAGGGAGAAGTGTTGGGGGAATGGGAGAGAGCAAGGCCAACTCGGTGGTCCTGTCTGGTCTTAGAAAGCTACCTTAGGCTCACCCGCCTGACATGAGGCTCTCCCCTCCTTTGAAGAGGTAGGGAGGAAAGTTAGGAGGTTTGGAAAGTGGCCAATGAGCTTTTGGTGTTTTCTGTACCGCCCCCCGCTCCCGACCAGGGATCTGCTCTGTGAGTCAAGCCTCCATGGACTTTCTGCTCACACATAAAGGCACTGGCAACATGCTGATTGTGGTGGTTGGTGGCCTGGCTGAGTGCAGATACAGCCTGCCAGGCTCTACCACCCTGGTCTTGAAGAATCGGACTGGCTTTGTACGCGTGGCCCTTCATCATGGGTAAGGACGGCTCTGGTCCAGAATGGGGAGAGGGGCTCCGAAAGCCCAGCATGGAAGGAGTAAGGGATTTTGAGGAAATGATACCTAAAAAGGGAGGTGGAAACCTGCTTCTGTGTTGGAGTAGAGACTGGGCCGGGTCCTCGAGGCATTTCTGCTTATGAGGAGAGGCTAGAGGGCCAGCCCTCGGCTCTTCTTTCTCACCCTAGCGTCTCGTCTGGGCCAGTCCCTCTATAAAAGGCCACAGGCTGCAAGCTCATGTCAGAGAGAACCAAAACTGCTGTGGGGATAAAGGGAAGAAAGTGAAATGAAATGGCCCTTGGGTCTCCTCTTCCAGTGTTTCAGACCCGTGGGTTCACAGGAGGGTCTGGGACTTGCTTCCTTTAGCTTGCTGCTACTTTGCCCCCACAGGCAGCCTGGGGTAGACAGCGGGGCCCTCACACTTAGCCTGGATCTAGGCCCAGCTAAGTCACGGGCCGAGAAGCCTATAGGCAGACCCAGGGGCCGCTGGTAGCACATCCGGCCATCGAAGGATATGCCTTTCCTCTGCAGAGTTCCTCTAATCCCTGCCTATGCCTTTGGGGAGACAGACCTCTACAATCAGTACATTTTCACTCCTGGGGGCTTGGTGAATCGCTTCCAGAAGTGGATGCAGCGTATGGTACACATCTACCCTTGTGCTTTCTATGGGCGTGGCTTCACGGAGAACTCATGGGGCCTACTGCCCTATGCCCGGCCCATAACCACGGTTGGTGAGTGAGCCTGTCCACTGGGAGCCACGTCTAGGATATAGGATCCAGTTCTGGGGCTGGACCTTGGCTCTGGCCGTGTCCAGAGGCAGAGAGGTGGACTAGGATGAGGGGCATGGTGGGGGGAAGGGCGGGGAGACCCTGGGCTTGAGGGCTGAGGCCCATTCTGAGGAGTGAGCTGTTCTGATGCTTTTCCCTTCTTCTCTGTCTCCCGTCGCAGTCGGGAAGCCGCTACCACTGCCCAAGATTGAGAACCCGAGCCAGGAGACGGTGGCTAAGTACCACGCACTCTATATCGACGCCCTACGCAAACTCTATGACCAGCATAAGACCAAATATGGCATCTCAGAGACCCAGGAACTGGTGCTCACTTGACAGACATCACCAGCAGCTTCTCGGCCTGGCTGGAAGGTGTAAAGAACCTGTGAAACAGGAGGACCAGTGTCCCATGTGGGCCTCCTGCTCCTGATTTGGCGAGTCCTCAATATGAGGAGGCTGTCCTCTAGGCCCCTCTTCTTCCTTCATCTCTCGCTGCCTTCCAGCTCTTCTCTGCCTTTACCTTGGGGCTACAAGGGAAACAGCCCCAAAAGGCAGGGAAAGCCCTAGGCGAGAGGTATCTTGAAGTCTCCCTCACGCACAGCCACTCAGCATCAGTACTGAGGAAATAAACAAAATAATATAGCTCCTCTTCTGATACTGCTTGTGGTCCAACTCATTGGTTTTAAGGGCCTAGGATCCCTGTTCATGGCTTTGCTTCTCTAGCTCTAACAGTCCCATCTCCTGGCATCGAGGCTCCTGCTGGCTTGGGAATTCAGGCTCCACCGCCTTCAAGCCATGTGACATGGGACAATCTGTCACCTCTGAGCCTGAGCTTCCTCACCTGTAACACGGGACCCAGAATCCCTCCCCTGCTTACCTCAGAGGCTACTGGGAAGGCCAATGATACTGAATGTGATTGACCTTTGTACATTGGACAGCTACCCCAAATCCTCCTCCTCCAGTCACTTTGCCCACTTCCTATCCTTGAGCAGACTCTGCCCTCAATTTCACGGCATCTCTATGTTTAAAAGAAAGTGTACAGTGTAAGATCTTGTCAGCAGCTCTTTGAACGTTGAAGTAGCCTTTCTATAGTTGGGTGACCTTGGGTGAGCTACTTAAACTTCCCGAGCATTGGTCTCCTCGTCTGCAAAATGGGATGATACATCATGGGGAGCTGGAGGCTGCATCTTCCCAAGCTGTTAGGGGCTCAGGCCTGAAATGTCTGTTATGGATGCTGCAGCGTCAGGCTGAGGGAACCTCCATGCTGTGTCTCTGCCTTGGGACAGCAATTCTTTCCTGCAGGACCTCTAGCTTACTGGACAGGCAGTGACAAGAAAAGACCTAAGGTGACAGGGATGGGGGCGTGTGTGGTCTGGGACAAAGACAGGATGTGGGAGGTTCTGACAGGAACTTCAGACCTCCTTCTTTTGGTTGCCCCCTCTGAGATGGGTGCCTTGGCCCTTCCCCTAGCTGACGTGTGGCCACACTTGCCAAGAAGCACCTGGCACACAGGAAGCGCTTAAGTCGATTTCGAGAATGGGGGGAGGAAAAAAGCTTTATTTGCAAAGAACAAACCATTAATTTACATAAACTTACATCCCAGTTTATATACATTATATATAGTTTATATACATAGTATCTCACACTGGATGCCGACCCCCCAAAGCAGCACGGGGCCTGCTCCAGGCCATTCTCACCACAAAGCCAGCCCCCCACCCCAGGTGAAAGTTTTTTGAATCAAGAAATGGCACACCCGAGTCCCCTTAGAGAGAGCCCCAACAGGAGTTAAGAGGAACAATCTGCTTCCTTCTTTGTGCTCACTGCGGCCTAGGGGAGCCTCTCTGTGGGCAGGGAGGAAGGCTGAGGCAATGCTGGCTAGCCTCGGGACTTCCTGGTATTGGGCCAGCCCAGAGACTTCCAGTCCAGAGACCAGGGCAGGGAGAATGCCTGGGGGGGGGGGGCGGGGGGGGCGGGCGGGAGAGAGTTCTGATGGTGGCTGCAGCAACTCTTTCCCCTGCCTGGCAGGGCTCCTGAAAGGGGCCAAGCACTTCCAGCCTTGAGTTTGGGGGTAGAAGAAAGGAGGGGTCTGTGCAGGACAGAGACAGCTCCAACTCCCTCACTCCTTTGAGTCTGCAGGTCAGGGCTCATTCACCTTGGCCAGGTCACCTTCCATATCTGGGCCTCTGGGTCTCGCTCTAAAGGTCCCTGACTCTATTTGCATCCACCGGAAGTTACATAAAACACACGGACTTGCCCGGGGATCCAAGTCTCTGTTCGCCTCCAGGGTTCCTAGCCCTTTCCTGCTTAGGCAAAGGAATTTCGCTCAGGATGGATGAGTGGGGACAGAAGGCAAAGACGACATTTCCCAAGGAACCAGGAGCTGAGCAGCCCCCAACGAATGCCTTTTATGCCGGCCTTGGCTGTTGAAGCCCAAGCAGTTGGCCAAGGCCCCCGCCATGCCATTCTCCTTCAAACCTCTGCCATCTGCTTGCTCACAGATGTCCTCATCCCATTCTCCACGCTAGCCCTGGTCCTCTGGTGAACTCACAGCAGCGCCATTCCAGACCATATATCTATTCCCACATCCTCTCGCTAGTAAATTGCTTCACCCCAGCTGTCTGTTGCTTCCTTCCTCACCTCCTTCCCTCTAGCTCCTTTTGAGGGTTCACAATGAATACAGGGTCCTCTGCAAAACCTAGCCCCTCCATAATCCCCTCCATAGCTGGACCTCAGGATGGGTGTCAGAATGTCCTTTAGGGGTACAATTAGGAAGCCTCCTCCTCCCCTCTCCTCACATCTGGCTTTAGAGCCAGGCCTCTCTCTCGGGCCTTTCCTCCATCAGGAGACATCCTGGTAGAGCAAGGCTCTCTGTGGGATGGTAGAAAGAGCCAAGGAGTCACTTAGTAGCTGTGGGAAGTGGACCAGCTCCCGTGATCTGTCTGTAGGGCAACAAGCGGAGGCCCTTGCCCGCAGCAGGGGCTCCTTACACGACGGGTGGGTGGAAGAGCATAAGGGATACAGTTCTGTGGGTACTGGAGGCCTGCTGCTTCGACGTGGTGCCAAGACGATTCTGACCACAGGAGCTGTTTCCCAAAGAAATGTCCTACTCTTTTTGCTACAAAGCCCCCGGCAGCCAAAAGAACATCAAGGAGTTACCACCAAGGAACGAAAACGCATGTGTCTGGGTTTCTCTCTGGGATGCTGAAGGATTTGGGGTCCCTATTCCCATTTTTATTGGTTCTCTCTAGACCGCACATTCAACACAATGCTGCAGCATAATGGAATGGCTTCGGAGGCAGACCTGGCTGAAGCCCCAGGCCTGTGGCTTAAACTGGTTGGGATCAGGGTGAGGCAGCCCCTAAGGGTCAGAGGCTTGCCCCCACAGTCTGGAGTCCACCTTTGCTTTCTCTTGCCTGCTGCCCCGGAAACCCCACGTTAGTGCAAGAAACAAAGCAAAGCACTTCACCTCTCGGAGCCTTGTCTACACAATGGGGTTCATAGCATCCTCAAAGGAGATAATGAGAGAGAAAGTACTGTCCAAACCTGAAGGAGAGGATCCCTTTAGTTCTCGCTACAACTGAGGACTATCTAAGGTACTTTCCAGAAGCCTGGGCCAGATGCATGCTTCAAGTTTACCCCACCTGGGGTTGCAAGGCTGTCATCAGCAGCCAGACGATGGCGGCATAGCCCACCCCCACTGGCCCAGACCCACCAAGGGCCGAGCATTACAGTTGTTTGGAAACGGAAGGTACAGTGGAGAAATGAACACCTGTCCTTGGTGGATTTCAGCTGCCGGAAGGGACTTACCCCACCTCCTCCAAAGGAAAGTCACTTCAGGAGTGACAGTAGCACAAGGTCCAACATTGGCCTTCCCCAGCTTTGAGCGAGACCCAGCATCCAGAAACCAGGCTGGCCCCTGGCAGTGAGCGATAAGGCCCTCGAACGGTCCCACTGTATGACCCAGTGGGGAACTTGGGGTCGGGGGGTGGGGTGGGTAAGGTGTTTTTGGACCTGGCTACAGGGCAGAGCCTTGCCCGATGCCTAGCTGCTGGGCTTCTCTTGAGCCTGGATTCAGGCGATCGGCACTGGGATCTCTGGTGACTCCGCTATGGCTTTCCGAAGCGAGAGTGAAGAAAGGTGGGTCAGTAGGGCATCGGCTGCTGTCCTTTTGGATAGGGCCTAGGCTAATGACCCTTTGGGTCACAGCAAACTTGAGGAAAAAAACCCACCGTCCTATCCCACTTCTTGCCCTTTTGGGGTCAGGCAGAAAAGTTCTGCCTTGCTAATGCCCCAGGGGCAGGCTGCGGTTTGGGAATATTCGTAGGCTCTCGTGGAAGCTGCCTCAATATTCGAATTTGAAGGGACTCCCGGAGGTCATCCAGTCCAACCCTTTGCCCCCAGACACAACTCGACTAGATGAATATTTGTGTTGCTTAATAAACGGAAAAGTCTCTTTGCGCCCAGGTCATCGAAAGAGTATCCCAGACTCACATAAGCACAGGTCCCAGGTAAGGCGCCTGTCTTAGACAGAGGTAGGCTCTGTGGCGAAAGAAGACAGGAGTTCTGGTCAGGCTGGGAAAGGGGGCAATTGGAAGGGGACCCAGAGATTTTTCTGAGTGTGGAACACGGCTGTAAACAAAGTGAAAGGCACGTGGCCCCAAGTATGCCTTCAGGTTCTTGGGCAGGCGGAGGTGTGGCCATTCCCTGCCACTGCTCCGAGAAGGGCAAACCTCCTATCCCCCAAAGCCCAGCAAGCCGACGCAAGGTGGCTCTCAGCCCCAGGGGGAAGAGCACCCCCCGGCCCCGACCCTCCGGCAGGCTGCAGTGCAGGGCAGCAAGAAGCCTTCCACTACCGAGGATGCCTGCTTGGCAGGTTTCTCCCTGGGTCTCTGCCACCAGCACCCGCCTTTCCCCTCCCCGCCCCTCTGCGTAGGCTTCACCACTCCCCTCCCGCCCTACCCTTGCCCCCCAGCCCTACCCAAGAGAGGAACGGCAGCCCCTAAGGGTCAGAGGCTTGCCCCCACGGTCTGGAGTCCACCTTTGCTTTCTCTTGCCTGCTGCCCCAGAAACCCCACGTTAGTGCAAGAAACAATCACTCTGACAACAGGGACCTTGAGGTTGAAGAGTTGAGCCATAAGCCAGTTGACACACGGAGCCAAGGAAGAAGGTCCTGCTTCCTGCAAACTCTGGGGCTCCATCAAACGTCCTGTGAACTCAAGGTCATTCTGGAAAGTCAAGCGGGCCTCATCATCCTGGAGTCCCTGGGGACTAAATAGCCCTGGGGTATTGATCTCTGTGGCTGCGACACCCATAACACCTCGCTCCACAGCAGCACTGAGAGGTTCTGGGAGTCCCGGCTCCCAACCCTGGGGCAGGGGCGCGGGCAGGGACAGAAACGGGGCGGGGGGGAATCTAGGATGCAGGGGCCTCGCCCAGCCTGATGGCCCCAAAGAAGGTGGTGTGCTTGCTCATATTGATAGAGATGTCGGCATGCACCATCTTCACGGCAATCTTCTGCCGGGCTTTGAGCAGGCAGACCCCCGCAGTGTAGCAAGTGTTGTAGTTGGTCTTGCCCGTCTCGATGCTGCGGGTACATTGCAGGAAGGGCTTCTCGTCCACCACCACCTCATAGCTGGCAAAGTCGGTGAAGTTGATGTAATAGACCTGGGGTGAGAGGCAACAAGAAGGGATTGGGGGAGAGAGGAAGGGGAGGGTGGGGCCCTTCCCTGCGGCGGACAGACAGGACCTTCTCAGACGAGCTGCCCGCACACCTTGTGAAGGGGGGCAGTGCCACCTGAGGGCGTGTGAGTTGGTCAGCAGGAAAGGCAAGATGATGGGCTGATCCGCTGCGCTTCCCCCACTCCGTGGGGCTCAGGGGGCTGAGCAAATCTCTTTCCAATAGCACGCCAGTTGTCAGCTCTGTGAGGGCAGGAACCAGGCCTTTCTCCCTCTGGTAGCTCTCCCAGCCCCTCCCCTGCCTTCCGCCCCACTCGGCCCGGCCCCCCGCAAGAGGCACGGTGCTCTGCACACAGTAGGGGCTCAATCAGTGCTACAGACAAATGGATACTTCCCGTGCCATGCCCCAAGGACTATTTGTGGCTGACCTTGGAAGTTGCTGATTCCCCAGAGAGGGCACGGTAACAACTTGCCATTTCTTCAGCTCTTTAGGGCTGGCCACTCAGCTTGCAGCTTGCCCTCCCCTGTGACTCAATTTCTCTCCCTGATTTTTACGGTGCCCCTTGGCCCTCTGATGATTAAGGAAACAGATCTGGAGAGACGGAGTGCTATCCACCAGAGATAAGCTAAAGAATTTGGAAGGACAAAACCCAGGCCCCTGACTTTGTGGCCAGAGGGAAGTGCCAACCCATATTCAGTGGCCTGGTTTCAAGGGGGATTTTCCCAGTTTTCACGGTGTTCAAGGCCTGAGGCCACTTCCAATCTATTCTGGGCCCAGAAAATACCCCACCCCAAGGTTTGATTCCCTACTCCCCCCTCCCCAAAAAAAGGACCTTAGGAGAAATGGTCTATAGGACAATGGGATTATACCCATGTCCCCCACCCCCCCATAGGTCATCCTAAATCACTTTATGAAAGGTTGCTCCTCCATAGGCTTTTCGGGAGGGAGTGGTGTATTCAGGTGCCATATGATTTCTTGCATCAGGACCCAAGCTGTGCCAGGATGCCTGGTGGGCTGAGTGAATGCTTGTTAATCCACCTTCTCTGGCCACTCTCCCGTGAGACCCTTCTGTTGGCTACGCAGTCCTTCTGTCCATCCGCTTGCTTGCTGCCCACCCCACAGAAGCCCCAACCTCAGGGTTTGTCTAACCTCTAGCTCTGAGGAGCCACCCCAGTGGAGGCAAACAACAGGGGCGGGAGTGGATGGGCAGACCTGGGGAGCAGGCGCGGGGGCAGGACAAGGACAGAAACCCAGGGCCAAAAGGGCTGGGAGCATGGTGGCAGGATGGAGGAGGGAATGACAGAGACACAGAAAGGTGGACAAGCAAACAGGAGAAAGAGGAAGGGAAAACCGTCAAAAATGGTTTTGAGGTGGAGAGAAAGCCTGCAGGAGCACTATTTAGCGTGAAGCTAGCGGTGTGGGGGGAAGGGGTGCTCAGCAGCCCTGCAACCGACCCTCCAAGGATATATACTGACACAGAGATGGAGTTTGGCAGTAGAACCAAACAACTCATTGGGGAAACAGGGGCCTGGGGCCCAGCAGGAGGATATCAGATGGCAGGGTGTGGGAGGGGCCCCTTTGCCATTTTTCAAGGATAACTGGCTGTCGGGGGGGACCCCAACCCAAATAGGCCCTTCTCTCTTTCCTCCTTTCAACTCCCTCCCAGCATAGTGCCCCCACCCCAGTCCCCCTAGAAAGCGGGAAATTAGCAGGTCTTGGCTGGCTCCACAGTGCCCCTATGTGGCCTGCACCGGACCTGCATTCTGGATATAAGAAGAGTTAGGCCTGAGACCGTACTCACTTCTACCTGACTATAGATGAAGTAGGTGCCGTCCACCAGTACCTCCAGCTCCCCGCTGCGGGGATGTAGCTTAAACACCTTGGGGTTCATGGTGATGCGAGACCAGTCATTGAGCACTCCACCTGAAAGATCTCAGTATGAGAGAAGGGCAGTCACTCAGTACATGTCAGAATAATCTGGGCAATAGAAACAAGAGACATCGAGCAGCATCCCCTCCACCCCATCCCTATCCCAGTGCGAAGTGGAGAGCCCCGGAGGCCAAGCTTTAAGAAGAGCATTTGGGAGCAGAGAAAGCGTTCTGTGTGTCGAGCAGTTGCCAGGCCTGCCTCAGGCCCCTGGGGTCCACTTGTCTGTCTCCCTCTCTCCTTTCCTGACCTCTCCATCTGGTAGGGTCTTTAACCAACACCTTCTAGCTGGAGTTGGGGGTGAGGGCAGGAAGAGAGTGGGCATGCTGCCCTATTTTCATTGTTGTTCTGGGGCTTGCGCAGGCATAATTCAGACACTGAGTGGCAGGCTAGGTCTTATTATTTCATTCTATCTCTCTAGCCATAGCTCTTGAAACCGTCCCCCGTGTCTCAGGTTCGTGGGTTTTGTCCTTCTTCTTTCAAGATTCCTTTTTACAGTTCCTTCATGCCCACTCCTTTCTGGAAGGCTTCCCTGCCTCCCCCCCGTCCCCCTAGGAAACCATTCAGCCCAAGGAATCGTCTACCCGGAGAACCTTAGGGATCAGGGGTGAGTCAGACTTCACGGCAGCTGGAATGAGTGGCCACCAGGACTAAGGCCCCATAGGAGAGGGGGATCTTTACGAGAGTGAGGGATAGACCACCAAGCAGAACTGGAGCCAGCCCAGGGGCTGGCAAGGGTGTCTGGGGGCCGAGGCACCTCTGGTAAAGCACCTGTCAGCCCAACCCCATTGGGGGCACAGGGGGAGTCCTACCACCTTTGCTGGACAGTGAGAGCCAGTATGTGAAGGTGGAGGAAAAGCTTCCCTTTCAATCCTGCAGAAAGAGGGATGTTCCTTCCTACCACTGGAGGAGAGAGTCCAAGCCCTGGGGGCCTTCTCCCCTCAAAACCCTCCATGCTCCACCCAAGAAATTATGTTGTGAATGTCCATCTTTGGCTAGTCTCAGGAGGCCTGCCTCTCGGAGGTGTGAGGAAACTGGCCTTCTGGAATAGGTGGTCATCGTCCCTTGAGGTGATAGTGGGTGGGGACAGGAGTTAGGAAGAGATGCCCTGGCTCAGCCCCTCCAAGTGACTGCTCTGTCCCCCTCCCTTCTGTGTTTGGTGCAACTAAAGATCAGCATAAACTACTCTTGGAGATTGGTCCCGAGGGGTTGGAACCAGTCTTATTGTGTGGTAGTGGGAGCAAAATCCATAGCTTCAAGCATAGACTAAGCATGGAGGCCACACGTCCATCCAGACAAATCTATTTCCTGCCTGTCTCACTGCTCCCTGGACAGAGGGTGATTATGGCCCATCCAGGGCCCCAGGGCCCAAGGCACCTGGTCCCAGCAGGACGCCTTGGGTTTTTTTCTACTATTCTGTTCTGACTTCTACTTTGGAGGCGATTACATTTCAGGCATCCAGGTGGCAGTCCAGGATGTGGCCAAGCTCAATCATTAGGGCAGCTCAGCACAGCCATTTCGGGACGGACTGGGCTCTTAGGAGCTGTCCCCATGCATCAGGTTTCTTAACCTTCATCTACTGTTTCTGCACTCAGACCCCCTCCCTTCCACTCCACGCTCCGTAAGTGTCTGGCATCTTGGCTGGCTTCCTGCTTCCCGAGGCTCCTGGGGGTTCAGGCGTTTTAGGCTGTGTGCACCCTGGGGACTGGACATTATTTCAAAGTGCTGTTCTTTAATGAATGTTCATGTCTCTTTAGGGGAGAAAATGAACCTAATCATTCAGTGGAGTGTACGCACATCACTGAAGTAGCCCAGTGCCATGGAAAGAATCAGACAGACATAGCTTTGAATCCCAGCTCCTGCACTTTACTGAACTCTTGGGCCAGTTAATTTAACTTCTCTGAGCTTCAGTTTCTGTCTCTGCAAAAAGGAACTAATAGCTATATCATAGGGTTGTTGTGAGGATCACATGAAATGAAAGACAAGGGGTGCTTGGGTGGTTCAGTCGGTTAAGCGTCTGCCTTCGGCTCGGGTCATGATCCCAGGGTCCTGGGATCGAGTCCCGCATCGGGCTCCCTGCTCAGCAGAGAGCCTGCTTCTCCCTCTCCCTCTGCCCCTCCCCCCTGCTCGTGCTCTCTCTCTCTCTCTCTCAAATAAATAAAATCTTTAAAAAAGAAAGACAAAAGAACGCATGTTGAAAACTCCAAAGGACAGTCCAAATATAAGGCAGTATGATTTTTTATGGTATTATCCATTCTTGCTGGGACTCTGGTTCCCCATCTTTTAAATGCAGGGATTACATTAAGTCAGTTTTCTTTTAAAAAAATTTTTTTATGGCTTCGTCTTGTTTCATTTATTCCTCTCTTCCCTATGATCCTCTGCCTTGTTTCTCAAATTCCACATATCAGTGAGATCATATAATTGTCTTTCTCTAATTGTTGTCAGTTTTCTTAACCCCCTTAAACCTGTTTCCCCTTCTTTTTTTTAAAGATTTTATTTATTTGACAGAGAGAGACACAGCGAGAGAGGGAACACAAGCAGGGGGAGTGGGAGAGGGAGAAGCAGGCTTCCCGCGGAGCAGGGAGCCCGATGCGGGGCTCGATCCCAGGAACCTGGGATCATGACCTGAGCCGAAGGCAGATGCTTAACGACTGAGGCACCCAGGCGCCCCCCCTTCTTATAGATATTAGCATCTCATACTCCCTGGAGAGTCTGACATGCATCCTCCCCCTCCCCCCACCCCGAAATGCTTCCTCCACCCGTTTATTGCAGAGACCCATCAGACAAGAATTTAATTTTCTGTAGTTTTACCTTCTCTAGCTTGTATTGTGAAATTGTTGATCAAACTACACATATCCCCTTGGTAACTCTGATACAACCTCCACCTGCCAAGAAATCCCTAATTCCATTATGTCTCAAGTCCTTTTTGGCTTCCTCATCAGTGATTCTACATGCAATTTGTGTGTAGCGACGGGTCTAGGTGCAAGCAATTACCCAGGACAGCCAGTAGAGGGCAGACGGCGCAGCGAATGGCCCCCTACCGCCCATGGTACTCCAAGGGGCCTGGGAGGAGCTAGGGGGGTGATTCCATGAAGGCTGCCACCGGCAAGGAAGATGGAGAAGCTCCTCTTAGGGGAGAGAGCCTACTTTGACTCTTACCATTCTTGACTTGAATTGCTGACCCTTGGCCCTGCAGATGCACCACAGCTGGCTGGGAGGATGAGAAGGATAGAGAGTAGTCACTGAGAGAAATGGCTGCCCGCTCAGCCACCAGTTACCATGTTCCCACCTCTGACTTCCAGTCTGCTTTCATTTCCCAATTCGGATCCCTTTCTCCTGCCCTGGGATGCCAGCGACCACGTCTCTGCAGGTGGCTAATGTGATTTACAGCTCCGCCACTTCCTGGCTACGTGACCTCAGCGGAGCCTCATTTCCCTGACTGTGAAATGGGGATTTTAAGAATCTCTGGCCATCTCTTACAGGGATGTTTGAAGATCAAATGAGGTGATGGATGTAAAATTCCCTGCAAGCCATTGAGCACTGTGCAGCTGTGTAGATTTATGACTGTGGCCAAACAGCTGTAGTGAGGGAGGGAGGCTGAGATGAGAGAAGGCCAGGCCGCAGAACTTGCCAGATTAGGAGGCTCAAAGACAGGGAGGAGCCCATCAGGCTCTGAAGGCAGAAGCCCAGGCTGGGTTTGGCCTGGAGCTGGTTGGCTGATTTTCAAGCTCCTGATCCCAGGCGGTCTGAGTGCCGACAAGGTGTCTGGTGTGGTTGCGAAGTCGGAGGCTCAGGTGGATAGGCCTGACTGGCAGCTCATTTCAGGGGACGACTGAGCTTGGATATGGTGACCTTCTGTTTTCCGTGCAATGGGGAAAAAATGGAAAAATGGCCGTGGCAAGACTGAGTTAAAGGCAGGCCCTGAGGCAAAGCTTTTCTATTCCTAGAGATGGGAGTGAGCAACTTCGGGACCTCTAGGGCACCCTCACAAAACAAAGCCTCAGCAAATTTAATCGGGAGCCACTAGAAGGTGGTTCTAGCCTTGTGGCCTTCCCTCCTCCCCAGGAAGAGAGCAATTCCCAGCCAACCTGGTTTTCTCGAGGTCCAGCTTTATCAGCAGCACCTGCAAAATAGGACAGGGCAATCAGAGGGCATGCTCCTTCTTCCCTTTCTCTCCTCACCTAGGCAGCGAGGGGCAGTGAGCCTGGCTCTGGGCAGCCAAGCCCTGGGAGGATGGGAGAGGATACTACTTCCCTTCTCTGACTCCTCCCTGACCTGCCTCTTCAGTGGGCCCAGCGTCCAGCAGGGACAGTGGCCTCTCACTAACGCGGGCCCCGAGGCGAGCCTCACCGAGCCCCCCGTAGAGATAGAGGAGAGTGCGCTCCTGCCACTATGGGATCCTGAGATGGTGCTGTTTGCTTCTTTAGTCTTTCGCTCCCTTTCTTTCATGGTCTTCATAGACAGCATTGACATTTATAAATATCTTGCTTCTTTGATCATCTCTCTCCTCCCCTGGGACACAAACTCCATGAGAACAGGGGCCACTTATCGATATACTCTTGCACACAGAAAGTGCTCAGTATCTGTGGAAAGATTGGGATACAAAAAAAAAAAAACAAAAAAAAACAAAACAAAACCAAAAAACCCCCACCCTCTAACTCCATCTCTTGTGCTCACAGTAATGCTGATTAGCCCCATTTGAACTATGAGTCAAAGGATCTGAGTCCAGCTACAGAATTTTTGGACCTAGAGAAATCAGCTGTGTAAAGAGTCCATTTCCTTGAAGCCCCAAGATCCAAGAAGGGAGCGGGAAGAGGAAATAACAACAGACCTAAGCTCTGGCAGGCTGACTCTGTCAATTCCAATCAGGCAGGTTTGGATTGGCATCTGTACCTTTTGGATGCCCTCCTGGACCCAAGAGGAATGATGCAAACAGATTCAGTGCTATCTGAATGCGCAATGCGGTGGCATGAGGCACTTGACTTCTCAGTCTTAGCGACCGCATTTGCTTCTTCTCCAGCCCCGGTGACTTGTAAGTTTCCAACTCCCTGGTCACCAGCGACTATTTGTCTACCTCTACGGGAAAGGCACTTCAGAGTTCATGGGATGAGACTGTTCTAGGGCTTGTCATTTCTCCCAGTCCCCAGCCTTCCTCTCCACAGCCTGTTTCCAATCAGACATAAACACGCGGTGCTAGATGCTGGAAATCAGTGCAAACCAAATCCATCCCCCACTGGAAATCTAGTATAAACCCTCCGGGGCCTCTGGCTCTGGCTCATGGGAGTTTACTGGCTCACTACAGGGAGGCCTAGAGTTGGGCAGGGCTTTGTGATGGAAAGGTCAAGAGCAGGTGGCCTGTCCTTGACAGGTTGGTATACACAAGAAGTTAGAGTAGGTCAGGCCCTACTGGCTTGTTCAAGTTCTAGCTCTCCACTGAGCTAGGAGACCTGCTTTTCTTATTGCTCACCAAAGCCATGACCGCCATCGGAAACTGCTCTCAGGATCACCCACACCTGCTCTTGTCAAGTACTTGCAAGGAGCCTAGGGGCAGGTGGAGAGACAGAGGAGCTCACCGGAAGGTCCCTGTAGGCCAGGGGGTCCCTGAGGACCAGGGGGACCTGGAGGGCCAGGTGGTCCCATCACAGTTGTTCCTGGAATTCCAGGAATTCCTGGAATCCCTGGGGGTCCCTGGGGTCCTGGGGGTCCTGGAGGTCCCGGAGGGCCGTTGGGCCCAGGAGGTCCTGCCTTCTTTCCTGAAAGACAAGATTCAGTGTTACATTTGTTGTCATTGACTGATAACATATTGTCAGGAGTTCTCCAGATTTCCAAGGACACGAAGTCAGCCCTTTGAGAGTTCCTGCTATTAAAGAGGTGAACACCTTTATTGTACAACACACACACACACACACACACACACACAAACACAAACACACACACTCTCCCTATCCCCTTTCATGAATAATTACTTCCAGAGCTGGTTTGAAGATATAGAAATAAATGACCCTCAAGGAGCTCAGTCTACTGGGGAAACAGACACAGTCACGGGAGAGTCTAAGTGCCATATGAGTAGTAGGGACAAAATGCTTAAGAGGTCAGAGAAGGTTTCAAAAAGGAGGTTACCTTTCAGCCAAGTCCAAAAGATTAGAATTACCGGACCCGTGGGTCACTTTTTTGAATTGAGCATTGGGCTATTGTTGAAGAGTGTGGCTTTCATGTTTACCACCCAGTTTGGAGGACTTGATGCAGATGAGAAGAGGGAGCTAGGAGGACAGCCTGACCTTGGGCATAATATCAACACCAGGAAGGTTTCCTATAGAAGTCAGGATGAGGGGCGCCTGGGTGGCTCAGTCGTCGAGTGTCTGCCTTCAGCTCAGGTCAAGATCCCAGGATCCTGGGATTGAGCCCTGCATCGGGCTCCCTGCTCTGCGGGGAACCTGCTTCTCCCTCTCCCACTCCCCCTGCTTGTGTTCCCTCTCTTATTGTGTCTCTCCGTGTGTCAAATAAATAAATAAAAAATGATTAAAAAAAAAAGAAGTCGGGATGTATAGGAACTAGGGGTTGGTATAGAGGTGGTGGTAGCCGGGAATGAAGAATGGAAGGAATTTGGGAGATGAGAGGTGGGGGGCATGGGGGGGGGGAGGGAGGCAGGGAGGGGGAGAGAGAGAGGGAGAGAGATTGAAGGAAAGAAGGGGAGGTGGAGAGTAGAAAAAGCTGAGGAGGCAGTTGGCAGGTTTTTGCTTTCTCAGCTGACCTCTCTAAACCCCATTTTTAAAGATCTCTGGGAAAGGCAATTCTGTAAACTCCCTTGGTAACATGTTCCTGTGTTTATCACCCCCTCACTGTTAGGAAGATCTTCCGTATATTTAGCTGAAATCCCTCCTGTGGCAATTTAAGCTTCTATTCTATTCTTTGTGAAGCTAGAGAAGAATAGTTACCATCATACACATAATAACCCTCATATGCTCATAGACATTAAGTCACCTACCAACCTCCATTTTTATAGGCTGAATAATCCGGCTTCCCAGAATCTTTCCTCTGAGGCCCTATTCTCCAATGTATTATTAATTAAGCCCACCAACTCCTCCCCTTTTTTTGTTCACTATCCTTTCAGAACAATCCTGGCCCTTCTATTCCATATTCCAGTCCTTCCAACATTCTCACCAGGATGTAGCTATTTGACTGAGTCATAACTGTGGTCTTGTACCAAAACCCGCAGCTCCTGCTTACTTCCTCTGCTCTGCGCAGCCCAATTCACGCACTGCAGGAGGCCACAGGGAGGGGGGTGTCTTCTTCCCTTCACTACTTTCTCACAATCTTTGGAAATACCAGGTATAGAAGGCTTCGACCAGACTCCACAACAGTATCTCCACCCACGGTACTGTCTTAGTTTTACATGTAACCCTTTTAAGTCTCACTTAAATACCCCCTTAACAACTCTGACTCCTTGCTCCCCAGTCTCTTAGGCAGGAGAATCCTGACCTGATTTATCAGGCCCTCCTTTACAAATAATGCCTCATGTTCCAGAAACTCAATCCCCATGGCAATGCCATTCAAAAGGCCAGTTGTCCATGTCTAACCACATCTGTGTTTGGTATGAAACAGTGGGGTCATTGTGGGGCTCCTGCCCTGGGGATACTCCCTATAGCCTTAAAGACCTAGAGGCAGGAAGGAACGTTAGCATTTTCCCTGTGCATAGCAGCAGCAAAAGATTGGATCTGCCCAGTTTCTAGATTAGCCAATTTCAAGATGCTGAACAGGAAAGCCATCTCCCTTCAGATTTGGGCAGCTTCCAAGTCAGGCTTATTCAGTGCCCAAGTTTCAATTCCAGCTACAGCAGTGGAAAGAACACAAAATCTGTAGTCAGGAGATAAGGCTGTAAGCCCCAGCTCTGCCATGGATGCACTCTGGGCAAATCCCTTTCTCTCCCTGAGCCTTTGTTTCTCCATTGGTGAAATGAGGAGTTTGGCCTTGATGATTTCTCTGTTTCCTCCCAAGCTTGAGGTTCCATAAGGAAGACTGACTTACCCCTGGCAGTCAGGAAACTTCCCTAGGCTGGCTGTGAGTTTTGCTTCTCCCTCATCGTTCTCCCTCATTGTTCTCTATTCTCCCTCATCTTCCTCTGTGTCTACTGCCATAGACTGTTCTATGTCCCAGAATTTCCAGGCCTCACTGATTTTGAAGCTAGAGGGTGTTCCGTGGGTAGTACAAACTTCAGTGTCAAGACTGTGACTCTCTTGTGATTGCTAATGTAATTTTGGAAGAATTACAGCCAGAAACTCCTCTAGTCAAAGAGAATAATGGTTGCAGCGGAAACAGAGGATGTTCACTTACGAAAATGTTAGAAGGCATTTGGGAAAAAGCTCCTGCTGTGCTCTAGTTCTGCAGCTGGTCCTCTTTGCTCCTCTGTAACTAGGTTTAGGCCAAGTGTGCTTACAGAAAGTTGGCCCAGAGAGGAACATGTACAAAATAACCCCTGGACAAGAGGATGACTTTAGAGGATTGAATTCCTTCTCCAGATTTCCTTACTTTAACAGAACACTTCATGATACAAAAGCCCGGAGACTTCTCTACTTAGAAAATTATCCGGTGCAGTCTTAGATGACAGAATGTTCACATTCTTTTCAAAGCTAAACTTCGTGAAAGGGGCATTTCCCTAACCTTTTAGTGAAGGCCAAACTGTTGGAAGAACAAATAAAAACAAGCGAATGAAAGTGAGGGCGGGGGGGATGGAGAGGGAGGGAGAGAGAGGGAGAGAGAGGGAATGAACATGAGCAAGTTAGTTGTAGGAGGGGAAAATTCTATTAAAGATGGAAATTAAATGAACAACTCAATTTACCTCTTCAGGCATGTGCCTATTCACTGTGTCCAAGGAAATCTGTATTAAATGGCTTCTAAATCACTTAGAGTCAAAGTAAATGTTTAAGGCCTATGTGCATCCTCCTTCTAATAATGGCTCATATACAAGGTAGCAGTGCTGGGCAGTGATCCGAGTCCCTGCCAGAGGCATTGGATTCTCTGAATTGTAATCATAGGGCTTCTAGCCTAGACAATTGTCTTCTATCATCACTAGCAAGTATGTTCTCTCAGTGCTCACTCATTGGATAACACTACAACTGGGTGCCATTCCCCACCACACAGATGACCCACACTTTGGTACATCACTAGCCTACTTGCTGTTCCCCCAAACAGGCCATGTTCTTTCATGCTTCTGAGGGATTTGAGTATGCTGTTCCCTTTGCTGGAATGTCCTTCCCCCTCCTTCCCCCCCCCCGCCCCCCCCCCGCCCATCCTTCAAAGCCCAGGTTAAATACTGTGTTTTTTTTTTTTTTTCCTCCTGAGATGTGGTTCCTCATTCCCCCAGGGAGAACTACTTGCTCTTTCTTTGTGCTCCCACAGCATGCTGTTCATGCTTCTGTGATAGCATTTTTGATGCCGTACTGTAATGATTTGTGCGTACTTCCATGATTCCAGCTACACTGGGATCATGGGAAAAAAAGATAAAGAAAAGTGGTGCTTTTCTTTATCTCAGTATCTCTATTCCTGACAAATATAAGATACTTATTCACTGTCTAGTGACTGAGTGAAAAGAAAAAAAAAAAAAACTAGTCACTGTAATTAGAAAGTGTTCCCAAGTCTATCTATTAAGAAGGGAAGTCACCTGTGGACTTGTTTAGGAGCAGAGGGTGTCCTTGTCAAAGCCAGGTGAGCTTTCTAGGTTTATTACAATTTCCATTTTAAAGGGGATGTGATAAAAGTTAAAAATAACATGCTTGATAGAGTAATCAAAACAGGATGGTACCGGCACAAAAATAGACACATAGATCAATAGAACAGAATAGAAAACCCAGAAATGAATCCATAATTATATGGTCAACTAATCTTTGACAAAGCAGGAAAAAAATATCCAATCAGAAAAAGACAGTCTCTTCAACAAATGGTGTTGGGAAAACTGGACAGCTACATGCATAAGAATGAAACTGGACCACTTTCTTACACCATACACAAAAATAAACTCAAAATGGATTAAAGACTTAAATGTGAGACCTGAAACCATAAAAATCCTAGAAGAGAACACAGGCAGTAACTTCCTTGACATTGGCCATAGCAACATCTCTCTAGATATGTCTCCTGAGGCAAGGGAAACAAAAAATACACTATTGGAACTACTTCATAATAAGAAGCTTCTGCAAAGCAAAGGAAATTATCAATAAAACTAAAAGGCAACCTACAGAATGGGAGAAGATATTTGTAAATGACAAATCTGATAAAGGGTTAGTATCCAAAAATCTATAAAGAACTTTTCAAAGGCAATACCCTCAAAACAAATAGTCCAATTAAAAAATGGGCAGAAGACATGAATAGACACTTTTCCAAAGAAGACATACAGATGGCCAACAGACACATGAAAAGATGCTCAACACCACTTATCATCAGGAAATGCAAATCAAAACAATGAGCTATCACCTCACACCTGTCAGAATGGCTAACATCAACAACACAAGAAACGACAGATGTTGGCAAGAATGTGGAGAAAGGGGAACCCTCTTGCCCTGTTGGTGGGAATGCAAATTGGTACAGCCACTCTGGAAAACAGTACAGAAGTTCCTCAAAAAGTTAAAAATAGAACTGTCCTGCAATCCAGCAATTGTACTACTAGATATTTACTAAAGGATACAAGAATGCTAATTCAAAGGACTACATGCACCCTGATGTTTATAGCAGCAGTATCTACACTAGCCAAATTATGGAAATAGGCCACATGGCCATTGGCTGATGAACTGAGAAATAAGATGTGGCATATATATACAATGGAATATTGCTCAGCCATAAAAATGCATCCATTGCAATGACATGGATGGAAGTAGAGAGTATTATGCTAAGTGAAATAAGTCAGTCAGAGAAAGACAAATACCATATGATTTCACTCATATGTGGAATTTAAGAAAAAAAAAGTGAGCAAATGAGAAGAGAGGAGAGAGAGAGAGGGAGAGAGAGAGAGAAACCAAGAAACAGACTCTTAACTATAGTCAACGAACTGATGGTTACCAGAGGGGAGGAAATGGGAGGATGGGTGAAATAGGTGATGGGGATTAAGGAGTATACTTGTCATGATGAGCACTGGGTGATGTGTGGAATTATTTATTTTTTAAAAGATTTTATTTATTTATTCTTCAGAGACAGAGAGAGAGAAAGAGAGAGAGAGAGAGAAAGAGAAGCAGAGGGAGAAGCAGGCTCCCAAGGAGCAGGGAGCCCAATGCGGGACTCGATCCCAGGACCCTGGGATCATGACCTGAGCTGAAGGCAGACGCTTAACCATCTGAGCCACCCAGGCACCCAGATGTGTGGAATTATTGAAGCACTATATTGTACATCTGAAACTAATATAACACTGTATGTTAACTGGAATTAAAATGCAAACTTAAAAAAAAAAATGATCTATCAAGCCATGAAAAGACATGGAGGAACTTAAATGTGTATTACTCAGTGAAAGAAGCCAATCTCAAAAGGCTACATACTGACATTTGGGAAAAGGCAAAACTAAAAAGACAATAGGAAGATCAGTGGTGGGGGACACCTGGGTGGCTCAGCTTGTTAACTGGCTGCCTTCGGCTCAGGTCATGATCCTAAGGTCCTGGGATCGAGTCCTGCATCCGGCTCCTTGCTCAGTGAGGAGCTTGCTTCTCCCTCTGCTTGCCACTCCCCCTGCTTGTGTTCTCTCTCCTTTCTGTCTCTGATGAATAAATAAATAAAAAAAAATTTTTTTTTTAAAGAAAGATCAGTGGTGGGATGCCTGGGTGGCTCAGTCAGTTAAGTGTCTGTCTTCAGCTCAAGTCAAGATCCCAGGGTCCTGGGATTGAGTCCCACATCAGGCTCCTTGCTCAGTGAGGAGCCTGCTTCTCCTTCTGCTTGCCACTCCCCCTGCTTGTGCTCTCTTTCTCTCTCTGACAAATAAATAAACTCTTAAAAAAGAGAAAGATCAGTGGTTGCCAGGGGCTAGGGGGAGGCAATAAGGAATAGGCAAAGTAGAGAGGATTTTTAGGGCAGTGAAACTATTTTGTAAATACTGTAATCTATGGGAATCTATGTCACTATACATTTGTCAAAACCCATAGACTGTATAGCACCAAGATGAAGCTTAATGTTAACTATGTACTTTGAGTGATAGTGATATATCAATGGAGGTTCATCAGTTGTAACAAATGTACTACTCTGGTTTGAGATGTTGATGGTGGGGGAGGCTGTCCATGTGTGGGGCAGGGAATATATGGGAACACTCAGTACTTTCCCCTCAATTTTGTTGTGAACCTAAAACTGCTCTAAAAAACAAACTATTAGAAAAAAACCGACATGCTTAAAAATCAAATTTACTTTCTTAAATACGTAATATTTTGGTGAATGCCCAGGCCCAGTGGAGAAAGTTTTCCTCATTGACCCCAGCTTTCTGGCTGTTTTCCAACTTTGCTCAGATCAGGTCCTCAGGGTGCCAGACCATTCCTCAGCTTTTTTACAACAGGGACATAAGTTTTCCATGTAGGCCATGGTACTGCAAGCCACCAGACTACCCTAGTGCTCAGAGAAGTGGCAGGCCGCAGCTGAAGCCAGTCTCTTTGGTCTACCCTGGGATTGATAATCTACTCTAAAAAGCTCCAGAAATCTTAACAGAATCATTTTACTTAAAGCATTTTATTTTTTAAAAGATTTTCTTTACTTATTTGAGAGAGAAAGAGAGAGAGAGAGAGAGAGAGAGAGAGAGAGAGCGAGCAGGAGCATGGGGGAGGGGCAGAGGGAGAGGAAGAAGCAGACTCCCTGATGAGCAGGGAGCCAGTTGCTGTGTTTGATCCCAGGACCCCAGGATCATGACCCAAGCTGGGGGCAGACACTTGACTGATGGAGCCCCCCAGGCACCCCTACTTAAAGCATTTTAATGAAAAATCATTAATTTCACTTTATTTTCTTATTTTTTTTTTAAGATTTTATTTATTTATTTGACAGAGAGAGACACAGCGAGAGAGGGAACACAAGCAGGGGGAGCAGGAGAGGGAGAAGCAGGCTTCCCGCCGAGCAGGGAGCCCGATGCGGGGCTCGATCCCAGGACCCTGGGATCATGACCTGAGCCGAAGGCAGACGCTTAATGACTGAGCCACCCAGGCACCCCTCACTTTATTTTCTTTACAGGTCAGAGCACAGAAACAAATAGTTACTTAAACTGGTTTTGTAGTTGGCTTCTTTTTTTTAGTCCTATGGAGTGGACCATATTGCCTAATTCTGTCTTTTGGAACTTGTTCTGGTTTTGGGTTCTCCTCTTCAAGTATGCAAGTGCTTGTACAAGTTCTTGGGCCAGTCCTGTTGCAAGTATATCAAAAACATAATGACCCAACAATGGCACAATGGATCTGCTCAACCAGAAGCTTCTTTGAAAGGACCAAAAGATCAGGGTATTCCTTCAGCTTTCTTTTTCCATCACAGAGAAAATGATATTGCAACCCCAAAGTAAGAAATACCCTCCCTGACTAAGGCATAGGATAGGGATAGCTTTAAGGCCAAGAATAGGGTACTGACATCTCTCAGGAGGTAGTATACCTAGTCCCCACAAGCTGTCTTAGGACTTAATTTATACATGATCAGTGATTTGATAAAGGAGGGCAAAGAAAGGAAAAAGGAGAAGGACAGGGGAAAGAGTAAGGAAGGAAAGAGATGTAAAATTTTTTTTATTATGTTAATCACCATACATTACATCATTAGTTTTTGATGTAGTGTTCCATGATTCATTATTTGCAAAAAGAGATGTAAATTTAATTGTACAAAAGAGGGAGCAAGAAAGAAAAATAAAAACAACTTTCATATGCAGCTAGAGAAGCACTTTCATGGATCATCACTGAAAAACAAATCTCTATTTCTTGTTTCATGGAAGCTACCATACTCAAGGAGGTCACAGGCGATTGAATAAAACAATGGACAACCAACATTGAAAGAATATATAAAAATCCTACTCTCTTGGTTTTTTTCCTTCTAATTTTAGAAAAGACATGAGAACAATTTTATAAAATCAGGAGCTTAACTTACCCTTTTTCTTGTTTTTAACTGGACCTGTTAAAAAAGAAAAGGGAAAATTAAGTCACTGGAAATTAACAGAAAGTGTTTATTCTCCAAGACAGTCATAGGAGAAACTCCTAAGACACTGCAGGTTTTGAGGGAGGCCCACACCAAGGGTCAGGTCATTGGCAAGGTATCTCCCAACTATCAGACCTCTCCAGTCTGTTTCTATTTTTTGAGTGTTGTAACAAGAACGTCATAAGAAGGATTCTTCCTTAGAAAACTCCTTCAGTCTCAGTCTTTGCAGTGAGGGAATGGTTACTTCTTCATAGAGATGAAATGCCCATAAACGCAGAACTCAACAACCTTAGGACGGCATTCCATTAATTCTGTGAGTCCTGAGATTGAAGAGTCATGCATTCAGGTGAAGAACCGATATGAAGTCTCCTGCATTGAAGCTAAATGGAAAAGAGGGTCATTTTCATGGAAGGAGCAGAAGTAGCAGTAGGTGACATTTTAGTCACTTACTGTGATTTAAATTGTTAGTTATTAAAACAGTGTGACCATAATACATTCATGTGGGTACCACATTGTAATTGACTATAAGTTAACAGACACTTTTAAAAGAAGTGCCAACAGTTTCACCAACAATGAAATCACAGGCATTTTCTTGGAAATTCCTTCTAAAAAAAAAACAATTCTAATCGATTGAGGACACTCAGAAAATCCAAGGCTTTTGTTATATGGTTAGGTGCCAACCACTCCCCAGACACACACAATTTAGGTATCTCCCACGCATGTTTTCCCCTCCTGGAGAGCCAATTCTCTTCATTCTGTAGGTGGATTTGATTTTCTTTAGATACAGGTGTTTAAAATCTGTTCCAAACTCCCACGAAGACACTATTGGACATTAAACCATTGTCAGTGTCCTCAGGAACTTAAGAACACCAAGCATTGTATATTGTTTTATAACCCATAAAACCTACTTATTTCCATTTATCATCTTGTTTTATCCTTACAACAAGCCTAGAATGATCTTTACCTATAAGAGCAGGCTCTATCTGAGGCAGGCTCAATCTGAAGTCAACAGCCTCTCACCTGGAGGACTGCCGGTGTGGCCGTCAGAGCTTGCATAGGTCCCTTGAAAATCAATGTCTGTGTAGACTTCCCTTGCAAAATAATTTTATTTTCATAATTTGCCTGCTAAATTTCACGGGTAACAGTAGGTATTATTATAGGCATGGGATGTTTTAGGTTGGGTTCAGCAACCTGCCACACTTAAGGTCATAAGTCCCCATTCTTTTATCCTCGTTTTCCATCCTTTTTCTTCCTCTCAGTCCTTTGTCTGCTTCCTTTGCTGCTTATCCTTTATGCTTTTAATGGCATTGAGAGTTCTTGATAATGTGCATGGAGGTTCTGGCAACGAAACACAGCTGCACAAATACTACAAAGAGGGAGCAACTCAACATGAGAAGGGCCACCTCTTTGACCAAAAAAAAAGCTATTTGAGGAAGGGTTTACCCAGAAAGGCCCAGGCCCATCAGCCAGCTACCAGCCAGTGAGTCAGCCACCTCTGCCTGGCAGAGCAGTGGGGTGGTAGCCGGTGCAGCAAGTTGTGCTAGCCCTCGGTAAGTTTCTGATCATTTCCGCTGCCTAAAGGGTTAGCACTGTTACAGCACACTTCACAGCAGGTTTTGAGGAAACGAGACCATCACAAGCAACCAGTCTTCACCAAACATGTCTATGGAAGGCAGCAAGGTAAATAATGAAACACAACTCTATCCTAAAAGAACTTGCAGTTGGATACAAAAATATGAAAGAGGGGAGACAAGGAATTATATTGGCTATTTGAGAAAAAGCAAACAAACCCAAACTTCCTGGAGAAAGCTTGACTTACATCAACAACTGAAAAGAGGGAAAGGGAAGTTAAAATTTTAACTTCTATTGTGTTTATACCAGGAACCAACTCATTGTACATATATAAATGCATGCATACATACATACATACATAGAAAGGGGAAGCAAAAGGGAAAAATTTAATTTTTTAAACAAAACTATTTTTATTTCATTCTTTTTTTTTCAGTGATTCTTATTTTTAATTGAAGTGTAGTTGACACACAATGCTACATTAGTTTCAGGTGTATAACATAATGATTCAACAACTCTCTGTTTATATTATGTGTACACAAGTGTAGTTACCAAGTCTTCATACAATGCTATTACAATAACATTGACTATGTTCCCCATGCTGTATCTTTTACCCCCATGACTTAGTCATTTCTTAAAGAAGGCCTGTATCTCCCACTCCCCTTCACCCATACTGCCCATCTCCCTACCCCTTTCCCCTCTGGCAACTCTCACCTTGTTTTCTGTATTTATAGCTCTGATTCAGCTTTTTATTTGTTTATTCATTTGTTTTACTTTTAAGATTCCACATGTAAGTGAAATCATATGGTATTTATCTTTCTTTGACTTATTTCACTTAGCTTTTATAACTTCTAGGTCCATCAATGTTGTCACAAATTGCAGGATCTCATTTTTTTCCTGGCTGAGTAATAATATTCCATTGTGTGTGTGTATGTGTGTGTGTATATATATATATATCTTCTTTACCCAATATTATCTATTGATGGACACTTGGGCTGCTTCCATATCTCGGCTACTGTAAATAATGCTGCAATAAACATAGGAGTTTTTGAATTTGTGTGTTCATTTACTTTGGGTAAATATCCAGTAATAGAATTACTGGATTATATGTTATTTCTATTTTTAATTTTCTGAGGAAACTCTTTACTGTTTTCCATAGTGGCTGCATCAATTTACATTCCCACCGATAGAGTATAGGTCTCTCACCTCTTTCCCAGCACCATTTGTTGAAGAGACTTTTCTTGCAGCTTAAAAATTTTTTTCTTTGTCACCATATTTTGCCATTTTAATTATAATATGTCTTGGGTAGATCTGCTTTTGTTGATTTTGTCGGGGTTCTCTGTGCCTCCTAGATCTGGATATCTGTTTACGTCCCCAGATTAGGGAAGTTTTCAGCTATTATCTCTTCAAATATATTTTCTGCCCTCCTTTCTCTCTCTTCTTCTGGGACTCCTATGATGCAAATGTTATTATGTTTGGTGGAGTCACTGAGTTCCTCAAGTCTATTCTTGTAATTCATAATTTTCTCTTTTTTTCAGCTTGATTACTTTCCATTACTCTGTCTTCTAGGTCATTAGTTCATTCCTCTGCTTCTTCGAGCCTGCTGTTCATTCCATCAAGTGTGTTTCTCATTTTGTTTATTGAGCCCTTTATCTCTGCTATGTCATCCCTTATCTCTGTGTTGGGAGTCTAACTCATGTCTTTCACTCTTTTCTCAAGTCCAGAGAGTATCCTTATATGTTCATTGCTTTAATTCTCTATCAGGCATGTTACTTATATCTGTTTCACTTAGATCTCTGGCCATGGCCTTGTCCTGTTCTTTCATTTGGGACAAATTCCTCTCTCTTCTCATTTTGTCTAAGTCTCTGTGCCTGCTTCTCTGTGTTAGGAAAGTCAGCTACTTTTCCTGTTGTTGACAGTAATGGCCTTATTAAGAAGAGGACTTGTACCCTGCAGTGTAGTGTCTCCTGTTCCCCAGGGCTTGGCACAACAGGGAGTGTCTCCAATATGTGCTTCGTGTGCTCAGCAGTTGTGCCTTGGCTGCTTTACCCTTCAGGGCAGTCATCTGCAGAGGATGTCCTTGCCTGTTGTCGGCAACGTTTGGTCCCTGGCCTGAATGTGGTGGGTCTTAACTAGGTAGGCTTGGTCTACTTGTAAAATGAGACCTGTCACTATTGCTGCTAGAACTGAGGTCCTGCAAAACTCCTGGGTCAGGAGACATGGTGTGGGCAGGGGTTTGGGCTGGTCTATCTGGCGGAGGGGGCCCTCCATGCTGGGACTGAGGCAAGCATGACTAAGAAGGGTGTTCCACCAGAGCACGAGGGTTGGGTCTTGGTGTAAGCAACTTAGGTAATGAGTGCCCATTCTGCCCTGGTTCCTGCAAGCAGGTCTGTGTTTATGCTGAGGGGTGTGGGAGGGAAATGGTGCCTGCCAGGTCCTTTGTTCCTGGAGGGGTATCTCCATTAATGCTACCTCTCTGGGACATGATCTGAGATGAGCAAATAACCCCCCACTGTTTGCCCTAGGTATTTTTCAGATTGCTGTTTCCACACTGTATGTCTGCAGGCTGTTTGCTCTGCCTTCTCTCCAAGAGCAACTCCAATGCCTCTGGGCTCTCCCTCAGCAAGCCCAATGACCTTTAGAACTCCAGGCTTTAAGCCCCACTGGTTGCAAGAACTCACAAAATTTGGCCCCTCTCACTTCCCAAGCCAATTGTTATAGGGATTCATTTTCTCCTTGCATTCCCCTGTATGTTAGTTTGTCCCTTGCCGTTCTTCACAATTGTGACTCCCTCCCCACTGCAGCAGCCATGATCTGTTTCTCTCCCAAACCATGTCTCTGTACTTCCTACCTTCTTCAGTGTGGCCTCTTCTCTACCTTTAGTTGTGGAGTTTGTTCTTTCAGTCTTCAGGTTGATTTCTGGGGTATTTAGGATGATTTGATAGTTATCTAGCTGTATTCACAGGATGAAGTGAGCCTAGGGTCATCCTACTCTGCTGCCATCTTCTTGGACTCCCAAGTTGTAGATATTAATTCCTTACCGGATATGTAATTTGCAAATATCTTCACTAGGTTGCCTTTTTAAAATTTTATTTGCTATGCAAAATTTTTTATTTTCATGTAGTCATTTACTTTTGCTTTCGTTTCCCTTGCCTGAGGAGACATAGCCATAAATATGTTGCTAAGGCTGATGTCCAAAAATGTACTGCTTACATTTTCCTTTAGTTCTATGGTTTCCAGCTTCACATTTAGGTCTTTAATCCATTTTGAGTTTGTTTTTGTGTGTGGTGTAAGAAAGAGGTCCAGTTTCATTCTTTTGCATGCAGCTATCTAGTTTTTCCAACATCATTTATTGAAAAGACTGTCTTTCCTCCATTGTATATTCTTGCTTTCTTTATGTAGCATAG